TTTGCTGGGGGGGGGGGGGGTTCCCAGCATGCAACACAGCTACGATGAAAGAATGTGTCACTAATGACCGCCATCTCAAAACATCCCGGAGTCAAACTGGACAAGCTCGTTTATACAAAACAACATGTCAAAGAACAGGGATAACGAAGCCTTAACTCACCCGCCAACTGAGATCAACCACTGCCTTCACCTGGTTAACGTTCTTCAGCGGTTTGAGGAGGGATCAGCAAATATTCTCTGTTTTCCCAGCCAGGATTTCTAAATTGCCTAAATTGTCCTGATTTTAGCTTTGTTTTTCTATTAACAGTCTCTCTGCTGTGATTGATCGATATGGATTTTTTTGATGGACGATATATACGATATCACGCTAATTTATTTAAAGATAGTAAAAATTACACATAACAATTGCTGAAATTAAATCTATATTTATTTCACATAATATTGCTAAATGACTTAATTTGGAAATGAATAAATATGGAAAAAATGTTTTTTAACTTGATTTAAAAAAAAATTTTATTTATATGGCAACTTCTTGATTCTACTGATTCTGTTACAGCATTTGCCTTAGTTACCAAACATAAAAAAGCAGACACTGTAATACTTTTTCATATACAGTTTACAAGTTCTGTTTAACAGAGAAACTAAACTAACGAAGACAGAGGTCAGGAGGCATCAAAATAAAAGTCCTACTTCTGAAATCTCCACCAAACAGGAAAAAATGTTGGATAATGGCAATAAAAAAAACAAAAGACAAATTTGAGCCGATATATCATGTCTTGTACCAGTACTGTATATCCTGCCTACTCGCACGCCGCGATTGGTCGATTATGTCCGATGCCTGCACGCTATTGGTCAAACTAACTTTCAGTATTACTTTTAGCAAGCGTGAAAACTATAGGAAAACAAAGCTAAAACCTGGACATTTTAGGCGATTCAGAAATAGAGAAGAGTCACCCGACTGAATCAGTGGCGTTTGCTAAGGTCACCGTTACTAGTAGTGCTCCTAGTGCTCCTAACTAACCTCTAACTAACTAGTAAGTGCGGATCACAACGAACCAAAGCTTCATAAAGGTGAAGGAAGCTCTTCAGCTCGACTCGCAGCGATCAAAGACTCTGCTGCACTGTTACACACAGACAAACTAAGTCATGTGGCTTTTACTCAAGCTGTAGCCATGACAACAACCCCACTGAAAGACAAACTGACAGATGGAGAGAGAGAGACAGACGGATCTTTGTAACTCAAAAGAAAACAGTTGAGAGAAACACGATTTACATACGGCCACTGCGAGGGCTTCAGTAAGCTAACTGACACACAATGCATTATGCAAATGTTTTAATTAATAGAATTTTAAATAAGCAATTAATTAGCCTTTCAAACTATTGAATGCAGCGCTGCATAATTTAAAGCAGATAAGTGGCATAAGGCACAACGCGTATTCAGAGAACAGAAACATTTCAACTCAACTGCAGCACAAACTTTCCTATTAGACCTCAAGAACTCATTAATATTCATCAGCTTTAATTAAGCCATCATCCTGTGTTTGCCAATCATACGCTCCAATTCTGTGATGCCTTTAATGCAATTATAGCAACTAGACTGAACTCCGCTCTCATACGCAACCCGATCAGAGTCAGTCACGAATAACGAGCAGCTCAAACATCTTCAACTACAGACGTGCTGCACTACTGCAGTGATGTTACAGTGACGTTACAGTGTCGCTACAGTGACATTACAGCGACGTTACAGTGTCGCTACAGTGGCGCTACTGCGACATTACAGCGATGTTACAGTGACGCTACAGTGTCGCTACAGTGTCGCTACAGTGACATTACAGCGACATTACAGTGACGTTACAGTGTCGCTACAGTGACATTACAGTGACGTTACAGTGACGCTACAGTGGCGTTACTGCGACGTTACAGCGATGTTACAGTGACGTTACAGTGTCGCTACAGTGGCGTTACTGCGACATTACAGCGATGTTATAGTGACGCTACAGTGTCGCTACAGTGTCGTTACAGTGACGCTACAGTGGCGCTACTGCGACATTACAGCGATGTTACAGTGACGTTACAGCGATGTTACAGTGATGTTACAGTGGCGCTACTGCAACATTACAGCGATGTTACAGTGACGTTGCAGTGACGTTACAGTGGCGCTACAGCGATGTTACAGTGACGTTACAGTGGCGCTACTGTGACATTACAGCGATGTTACAGTGGCGCTACTGCGACATTACAGCGATGTTACAGTGACGTTACAGTGGCGCTACTGCAACATTACAGCGATGTTACAGTGACGTTACAGTGGCGCTACAGCGATGTTACAGTGACGTTACAGTGGCGCTACTGCGACATTACAGCGATGTTACAGTGGCGCTACTGCGACATTACAGCGATGTTACAGTGACGTTACAGTGGCGCTACTGCGACATTACAGCGTTGTTACAGTGACGTTACAGTGGCGCTACAGCGATGTTACAGTGGCGCTACAGCGACATTACAGCGATGTTACAGTGACGTTACAGTGACATTACAGTAGTGTTAATTTTGTTAACGAAAACTATGAAAAATGTTCATTGACGAGCTTTTTTTCCATGACTAAGACGAGACGATAATAAGGTCAATAAGCGATAACTATGACTATATCAACATGCAATTTCGTTGACGAAATAAGACGAGACTAAAATGTATTCAAAAAAATAAAAACTTTACCAAAAACCTCTTTTTATTTTCATCAAAAAAAGGAGACAAAATGTTATTGCGGACTGCTCTACACTCAAATGTCAAGTTTTCTTTGACTAAAACTAGACTAAAATGTTGAGACTTTTAGTCGACTAAAACTTGACTAAAACTAAATAGGATAAGGTTGACTAAATATGATAAAAACTAACAAGGACATTTAACACAGGACTAAGACTAAAATTGAAAATAGCTGACAAAATTAACACTACATTACAGTAACAGTGCAGTGATGTTACACTGATGCTACAGTAACAGTGCAGTGATGTTACAGTAGGGCTACACAATTAATCGAATGCGATTGTTATGCATATGTTTCAGTGAAGCACGGTTCTGTGATCAGCAGTAAATAATCGGAAAGAATTTCTAATTAAGAAATTGATTAAATAGTTCTGCGATTATGAAAGCAGTTTGCATAGCTTATCAGTGAACTACGGCTCTGCTTAATAATTGCTGCTCCATCTGAACCCGCTTCTGTGTACCATCGAGCCTTTACCCAGCGAGTTTGAGTCGTTTATAACGTGCATTTGAAAAAGCAACATGCGTCAAACATCTTTCCAAACATGACAAGTGTTTATGCCACAAAATACCACATTTAAAAAATTTTTTATTCCAAACTCACTTCATTGCATTATTAATATAGTATTGTATTTTCCAAAAAATTCAATTTGTTTAATTTTCATTACTTAAAAGATAGATTCAATTAATATAAATGAAATGAATTTATGCCTTAAAAATGTAAATACACAACACAGAATTTCTGAGCAAAAAAATCAATGAATGAAAATAAATGAAACTTGTTTTTATGCTTTCAAATAATTAGACATGCTAAATCAGAATTTGGTAACAATAAAACATAAGGTTGGAAAAAATAAAACATTTCATAGAGCCCTAAACATGCAATTTTTGTTAAACTTTTAATTTAAATGTTTAAATTTAAGTTATATTAATTTATGTTAAACCTTTTTATGCCATTTACACTTCTTTTTAAATGTTATGTTACCAAATAACAGTTTCCTTCTGTTGTGTAAATACTATAGTAATCAGAGGTGACTGGAACTGATTCGAGCCACAGCCAGTTTTCATTTGGTGAAATTCATTATCGAAGGTCATAAATGAAATTTCACAATGTTAAATGTTCAAAGGTTTCAAATGTTAATGTGAAGAACAGCAGCCAAAACAGCTCTTCATATGTTCACATATTTGTGAGAAAACACCGTTAATGATTGAATTAGAGTCTTTTATTGTTTTAACTGCTGTTTAGTGACTGGGGAAATGTGGGGAAATCACTCAAAACAAATATACAGCCCTTAGAAGTTTGGTATATTACGATTACAGCTGACAAAAAAATAATACAAAATATTATTTTAAAGGACCTTTTCATCAGAAAAAAATTTTAAATTCAAAACCACACATTCAGGCTTGTGCACATCCATGAAGTCCAGAAGACCCTCAGGTGAAGATCAGACCCAACAGCCACACTCCACATCATCATCATCATCAGCATCATCATCACAGTGTGAAAAACTGGGACACATTAGTATGCAGTGCACATATATAAAAAACACAGTGCACACTGATAACAGCCTGGATGTTCTGCAGGACCAGCAATGAGCTAAATGCATAAATGCAACGCTCCTCAGAGACACAAGAGAATCTGAAAAAAGCACAAGCATCCAAAGCAAATCACACAGAGCGCATTAGCGCTCAGAAATTAATCATTCATGAACACGGCGTTTGTACTCATGAATATTCATGAGCAGCTCTGTACATTTAATCCGCGCGATAAATAAATAGTGTGACGCGTCTCTCATCTGGAATGAAACTGACGTTTAAATTATGCACGAGAATGAAAAGCATTAAACAAGCTGGGCTGGTGTTATGCAAATTCGCATTTTCACTCCTGCAGTTTTTAATGCAGCGCTAGTTCCTCCGGAGCGAATTATTCAATTCAACACGAGGCGCGTTTGAGAAACGGAAACTTTTCTGACTTTGTAACGCATTACCCGTTAGACAATATAAACATTCAACACACACACACAGTCGGGGTATTTAGGTTGCCCTGAGGGCAAACAGTTGATCTACAGAAGAAAAGCCCGGGCTGAAGTTTTTCTTTTGTTTTATTTCACGGCAGCACAGACTGAAGCGATTAATTATTATTATTATTCCACATCACGCCTGCGCGTTTACTGTCGAACAAACGCATGAATATGCAAATAAGCGTCCGTCGAGTTTCTGTCGCGGCCGAAATACACAAAGCGCGCTGCTAGCACGACTGCTAACTCACAACACTTCACAAACAGCACCGAACACCACCGAACCGAGCCGGTTAACCGGTTAATCCGTGCGAGGCTGTGTGAATATGCAGCACGCGAGCGCGCCATTTCTAACATTGAGAGTTTTGTACAGGACAAACAACTCTCATCTGCTGCTAACGGAGTCAAATCATCGCCAAAATAACGAACCATCTTCGCCACTGCGATCGGGTCCGTCAGTAGATGATCGGCGCGCGTTTGGCTTTGTTTACGCGAGGCGGATGGGGAATATGAATATGTAAAATGTAATAATTACCTGCAGTCGAGCGCTCATCTTGAGTCGTTGATCCTCTGTCCGCCATTTTGAATATTTAGTGTGAGCGCGAAACCCCGCCCACCGCTGCTAACACACACACACACACACACACACACACGCCTCCCTGACCGACCTAAAACTTCAGAACAACCGCATAATTCAATAATGTTTGATTTTCAAAACTCTCCTGTTTGTTTGGATAAAAGCGTCTGCTAAATGAATAAATGTAAATGTAGTGTTTGTTTTCCTGAGAGCACAAACCCCGCCTCCCAGAGTTAAACATGCCGGGGCTAGTTGTCACAAGTTCTGTATAGGTTTTGAGACAAAAGACCAGTTACACAAATGCTTGATTTCTTTAGCAGTGATTTGTTTGTTGATTTTAAAAGGACTTTAATATAATGTTTGTATTTGCTGTGTAAACAAGTAAACACAATAAAACACACTTAACACATTCAGACAAGAGTCACTATAATGAAGGAAGATTTGAATTGAAGGATAAACGTCAGAGAGCTGTATTTTATATCATGTATAAATGTATCATGTAAGTTACTTTTACTTTATTTTATTTTTTTGCTGTTTCATGAAATGCTCTATAATCTTTGTACATTTTTACTTTCAATGTGTAATGTGAAAATTCAGCTGCGCATCACAGAAATAAATTATATTTTAAAGTATAATTGCCTTGACAACCATTAGAAACTTCTTTAAAAAACATTAAAAATCTTACTGATCCCAAACATTAGAACGGCAGTATATACCGTATAATGAGATGGTCCTATATATATGTATGTATATATATATATACTGTGTATATACTGTGTATATATATATATACATACATGTGTCTGTGTGTGTGCATATATATGTATATATAAAGACACACACATACAGTATATACAGTGTGTATTTATATATACATAATAAATATACACAGTTCACACACATAAATAATGTACACAAAAACCTTTATTTTGGATGCAATTAATAATTTCATTTCATTTAATGACTCCAGAGCTGCTAAATATGCTTTTTTGTGTGTTTGTGACTTTTGTAAAAGTTTGACTTTATAACGAATGCAGTTGATGTTATCTTCTGTTTGTTTATATGCAGTATCAAGCTCTAAGAGTCTCGTACTGAACATGTGCCTGTCAGATCACACATATGAAACAACGCATCATTACCGCAATGATATTCTACATCTACAATACATAATGACATCTTAAATTTTTTGTGTAATAAACAGTCATGTTTGAGTTAGTTTTTATCGTGGACGTGTGACTTTGACTCCTCCTGTTTCCTCCACGATGAAAGAACTTCATCATCCTCCATCTCCTCCGCCACCCGCGCTCTCGCCCTCTGTTTAATCTGAGCAATGAAAGCAGATATTTCCTCATCTTCCTGGTCTTCCTGTGCAGTCTTAGCAGTCCTCACAGTCTCATTGTTCTCATAGTTAGCATACGATCTCCTGGTTCTGTAACTAGTATCTTCACCTAAGCCGGGTCGATAGGTAAACTCCGGACTGGGATCTCGAGCCAAATCCATGTCATCATCAGCCCGATGCCTGGATGCAAACCTCGAGGCGAAGCTATATTCCTCCTCTTCGTCGTGATTGACTGAAATCGAGCTCCTGCGGCTCGGGAAGTCAAACTCCGAAGGTTCCTCGTACGACGGCCGAGACATGCGGGCTGGCTCGCCGTCTCCATCGTAAAGCGTAGGTTTGCTCTGAGGAGGTCTTACGTTTTCGAGCCATTCATCGATGCTGCTGGTGGGGTTACAGGCCGAAGCTGGCAGGTTCAGTATTCCGGAACGGCCGTAATCTCTTTTAGGTTTGGGTTTCTCAAAGGAACGGGTGGCCAAATCATCAAATCCGTTCGGTTTTCCATGATTTACTTCGTCGTTGTCCTCCTCCTCCTTTGGTTTTTTCTTCTTGTATAACGTACTGCGCTTGTTGTCCTCTGCGATCTTCTTCACCTCATAGGAAGCCATCTTGTCCCGCATTTCAGACTTGATTTCTTTCTCCATGGTGTCCAGTTTGTGAAGGTTCACCTGGTCTTGGAAGAGGCTGTAGAGCGGCACGCTGGTCGTAGTAATCTTGCTCCGCCGGGATACAGAGGAGAGGTTGGATGCTCCTCCAGCAGAAATCACGGACTCGGCACGGCCGCCAGCCAAGAGCACGGATTGAGCCTTTCCACCCAAAGACAGCACGGATTCGGCCCTGCTTCGGGACGAGTATGTGGATCCACTCAGCATTGAGGCTTTGTCATCGTCTCCTCCGCGTCCGACACCCAGACTGAACACCGATCCCGCTCTGGAAGGAGCGAGACTCGCTCCCGTCATCATCTCGGCTTGCTTCTGCATGAGAGTCTCATTGACCACATTGGCAATCCAGTTCTGGATGTTGGAAATGTTTACCATGGGCTCGCCGTTAGGGCCGACGACCGCGGCCGGAGGCTCCTGAGGAACTGGAGGCTGCGATCGGGTGCTATGACCTGAAAGGACGGAAGACCTTCCGCTGAGCACAGACAGGGTATCGTCTCCGGCGGTGCTTGCAGACGGAAAGGCTCCGGCACAGAAAGCGGACAGCGGGATGCTTCCGCTCAGAGCGCTCTCGGTTTCCCAGACACACACCGACTGGCTCTCCTCCAGCGTCTTCCTTGTTCGCTCCAGAAGCTCCTCGCGTCGCTGTCTTTTCTTGATCGTGGCTGGGTCCTCGGCTCGACTCATCTTCAGAATTTCGTCCTTGTCCTCTTCGCCACCATGCTTCTTCTGCTGCTTGAGTTTCCAGGTTTGATAGGCCGTCAGGTTGACGTCCTCCAGCGAGGGAGCGGGAGCTTCCGTCTTGGCCTCCACTTGCTCTCCGTTCTCGTCTTTTTTGTTCCATCCGAACTGAATTCGCTTAACCTTCCATCGTTCCAGAGGTGTTAGGTTCTCCTTGTTCTTCTTGCAGAAGTTGTACATGGAGCTGCTGTCCGAGAGGATGCTCTCGACATCGTCGTCGATTCTTTTCTGGCTCGCTTCGCTGTCCTCGTCGGCCTCTTTGAGTCGGTATCGTGCGGCGGCCTGCTCCTCGATGTCCTTCAGACGCTGCTTCCAGAGATCAGAAAAGCTGCTGTGGCTCGTCGTGGACCCTATATCCGAAGCGGGTCGACGGGGACGATTCTTGATGCGTTCCTTCACCATTCGCACATCTTCACTGGTCACGCTTTGCAGGTCCTCCGGTCGCACAGCCGGCGGTTTCCCGTCGCCCAGCAAGGACTCGCCATCCTCCCCGTCGCACATCAGCTGTGCCTCCCACCAGTCCTCATTCTGGTACTTCTCATTGCGCTTCTGCCACTCCCTTATCATGCTGTCCACATCCCCATCTTCATCTTCCCTGTCTTTTCCAGGGAGCGCCGGGTCCTTGGTGGTCACCTCCAGGTCGGGTTTGCTCAGGCCACCAAGAAGTCCTGCTTTCAGAGCCGCGGCAGCTGCCGAAGACGCGACGCTGCTCATGACGCTGCTGCTGTCTTCCTCCTCGTCCACCATGATGGATTCGGCTTTAACTCCAAACATGCTCTCCTCCTCATCATGACGAGTGCGGGTGTCGATCACGGAGCACTGGCTGAGGGTGTCGTCATCATCTTCGTCTCGTTCCTCCATTAGAGTCTCGTTGAGTTGGCGCAGCTGCTTTATAAACCCTTCGTTGGGGTTGATGGCACGTTTCTTCCTGATCTCCAGCAGGGCCTCCATGATGCTCATGTTCTGGAAGATCATGAGATAAGCAGCGACAAGCACCGCTGACCGGCTCACGCCCATCATCGAGTCCACAAGCACCTTGCCTACATGAAGAGGAATAAAAAAAATCCTCAGATTAACGTAACGTCATCATCATATTTGTCACACAAACTGAAAATGGAAATGCCATGTCAAATTCTAGCACTTAATTGCACAGACACTATTAGAAGAGAACTGAGCTGATGGTGACACCACTGAATCAACAATGAACTGACTTTAGCTGAAAAATTGTCTGTTTACCATTGTCCTCCTGCATTATTGACACACTGTTTTCCTGTTTAGCAATAGCTGCGTTTCCATTACCCTTCAAATTGTGCAAATTGAAATTGCGAATTGAAAATATGCCTAATGGAAACGCGCCAGTTTCATAAAAAACGCCTATATATCACAAAAAAAATTGTTACGCTCGCATGAGGTGGTTTTTCAGGCATTTAGAAAAAGGAATATTTTGCAAAACTGCAATGGAAACGTTTTTTTCCCCCTGCATTTACAGGTCACATGGCATACATAAAAAGTCATTTGATCATTCTTTACTAGGTGCGTTTCCATTACAGATTTGAATAAAACTTTTTGCGATATTTTATAAATGTTGATAAAAAACTATTGCGAAATGACGGCGTTTCCATTAACTGATGTTATGCAACTAAAACGTAATTTTTTACTCTTGCGATAAGTAATGGCGATGGATTTTTGTTTTCTTAATGGCAAGAAAAGCCCCTTATACTTAAGAGCAGCCTGGAGGTTATAGTTGTCACGGAATGCTCCAAAACAAGAAGATCCAAATGCAGCATTTATTGAAGAGTCCAAAAACAAACAGAGTAATCCACATCAGGGCAAAAACAGAGCAACAGAAAACACGTAACAGTAAACAATAAACCAGCAACTAATGACAAAGAAAACCGGGCTTAAATGTGGATGAGTTAACTCTGGAGTGGACTCTGAGGACTGCTGGACTGGAGCGGGCTCTGGAGTGGACTCTGAGGACTGCTGGACTGGAGCGGGCTCTGGAGTGGACTCTGAGGACTGCTGGACTGGAGCGGGCTCTGGAGTGGACTCAAAGACATGAGTGGGTTCTGGAGTGAACTCATAGACTTGAGTGGGCTCTGGAGTGAACCCATAGACTTGAGAGGGTTCTGAAGTGGTCTCTGAGGGCTTCCGGACTGGAGCGGGTTCATGACATAGACTTGAGTGGGCTCTGGAGTGAACCCATAGACTTGAGTGGGCTCTGGAGTGAACCCATAGACTTGAGTGGGCTCTGGAGTGAACCCATAGACTTGAGTGGGCTCTGGAGTGAACCCATAGACTTGAGTGGGCTCTGGAGTGAACCC